AGGATACAACGGCATGTATCCCGGTCCCTCTTTTTTTGGTCTAGAACGTATTGTACAGTAGTTTACATGCCCGTGAACCCGGCCAAGGAGGAAAAAACATGCGACCACGATAAAGATCTGGAGACGATGAACAATGTTCTGTTCATACCGGTCCGAAGATGCGAAGATGCTTACCAGCTACCAACCAATCAAGCAAGATAGATAGATTCACCCAATACATTACATCCGGCCATTGCCTGAATCTCGGAGATGTACGTGGAGGTGCCCACGAAGGCCCTCTCTCTCTCTCTCTCTCTCTCTCTCTCTCTCTCTCTCTCTCTCTCTCTCTCTCTCTCTCTCTCTCTCTCTCTCTCTCTATCTCTCTCTCTCTCTCTCGCGCGCGCGCACACTTCCACCTTCCTTGAAAGTAGCACGCCCGAGTATCCTTGGCCAAGCTTGGCTATTCCTCGCCGCATATCAAAGGAAAGCAAAATGCCTCCGCTGGTGAATGGTTAATCGCCACTCACTTCAGGGACTCGTAGAGGAAAGGGTATTCTCAACGGCGTTCGGCCAAGAACCTGTCAGGTACACGAGCAGCAGAGAGCAGGCAATGCCACGGCTGACCCCTGAGGGATCGAGCGAGTATGGGCAACAAGCTTCCCCTGACTCAACTGACGGGTGGGTTTCCACCTCGTTTCTACGTGACAGCCAAAAGAAACGCAGAGCGTCGACGGTAGTACAGGAGTGTATTGCAGCGGCCTTGACTCAATCCGTAGTCCGGTCTGCAGTTCAATTATTTTGTTGTTGCTCTTGTCTTCAAAGTGGAAGGTTGTGTTGTACAACCTGGTGTTTTGTCAGAACGGTTAGAAAGATCAAAGGGGGCACCGTAGGTAAGAGAGAATTGATAGATAGGTAGCATGTGTAACGGAAAGAAAAGAAAAAGAAAGAGATGCACCTTGCTCACAACAGAAGAAACATCTGAACGAAAGAGCAAGACAACAAACAAACAAGAGGAGGAGGAGTAGAAGAGAGACAGAGGAGGAAGAAGAAGGAAGCGAGTGTACGGAAGGGAGGAGACAGACAGAGAAAGAGAGCATGAGCACCGTCGATTCGTTCGTCGTGGACGATGCGATTAGTGTGGAAGTGCAGTGGGAAGACAAGGGGGAGCGGTGTCTGGAGTTGACGAAGGGGCTTGCGTCCACTCACCATGTATTATTAGGGGAGAGGGATGAGCAGGAGGAGCCAGTACTGCCCGCAAAAAAGATGACAGACTGGAGGACGGAACATGTGGTATTAGGGTGGTTGGTGGATACTGAAGCAGGAACGATTTCATTGCCGGAACAGAAAGTGCAGGATTTGAGAGAAAGGTTAGCGGAATGGCCAGAGCACAGGAAGCAGGCTACCGTGCGCGAGGTATTGGTGTTGGCAGGTAAGCTGCACCACGCGGCCTTCGTTAGCAGGCCCGGCCGTTACTTCGTACACAGGCTTCTGCAGCTTGCCGGGCTGCATCTAAATGGGGTGGAACGGGCCGGAGGGGGGGACGCGTGGGGCAGACATAGGAAGAAGGCGCAAGCACGCAAGGTAGTGCAGCTGACATGGGAGTTTAGGGCAGAGGTGGGGTGGTGGCGGTGGTATCTAGGGAGAGGGGCGGGGGAGGTGGGCAGTAAGATAACGGCGGCGTCGTTCAGCTTTGCCAAGCAAGTTCTTTCGAGGAGCTGTTTTTCGGATGCGTCAATGAGAGCGTTGGGGGGCGTTTGCATGGAAACGAGGGTGTTCTGGAGGTGCAGGAGCTGAAGGCCGAGGAGCAGCAGCTATGTGCAGAGATTTTGCGCGAAGCTACGCACTTGGAAGAGTTGCAGCGTCGACTAGAAAAACTTACACGGGGGCTTGGAACATGTGGATAAAGTGGAGGGAACGAGTGCAGAAGAGTCCATGGATTGCGAAGGGGTCGGAGGAAGGGGAGATAGTGGAGGAGATGGCGGAATACATGGCTTACTGTAGTGCGTTCCTAGGAAATAGGGATTCGACGATAATGGGGAAGCTCGTGGCGGTAAATTTCTATCATCAACAGTTTCAGAACATGTCTTTGCCGTTGAGTAACCCGTACATCAAAGGGGTAGCGCAAGGTATTAAGAGAGGGCACGTGGAGAAAGGCACACAAGCAAGAGTGAGGAGACCTCTGACATGGGGAATGTTGAGTGCAATGCAGCAGAGTGTTGGCGGTGAGGGTGCAGGGGGAAGAGTGCTATGGATCGGATTGGCCTTGACATATCTGCTGATGTTGAGGGCGTCAGAGTTGTTTGCGGAAAAGGAAGGGAAAATCCACGAAGTGTACTGCCTGTGCAGGGGGGATGTGGCATTCTTCGAGGGCGATAAGCAGCTGGAAGGACCGGAGAGGTTGAGGGCAGATAAGATGGAAGTGCAGATGAGAGGCTCGAAGGGAGATCAAGGGAGGAAAGGAGCGGTGCTGGTCAGGGAGAGGGGGAGGGCGAATGGAGCGGTGGAATTGATGCTGGAACTATTCGGGATTTATGGAAGTGAAGGACTAAGTGCAACGGCACCATTGATGGTACACAGAAGGGAAGGGAAGTGGGAGGTATGGCAGAGAAGGAAGGCGACAGAGCAGATGAGGAAGGGGATAAGAGCGGTGTCAAAGATGTGGTCGAAGGAAGGGAAAGGGGCAGGGGCGAAGCTAAAACCGGAAGAGTTCGCGTTACATTCGGGAAGGGTAGGTGGGGCGACGAGGCTGGCCGCGAAAGGGGTACCGGAGGCTGTGACAAAAAAGGAAGGGAGGTGGTCGTCGAACGCATTCGAATGGCATACGTAAGGGCGAATATGCAAGACCCAGCACGGGTGTCGGCGGTGTTGGAAGAAGGGGAAGGGGTATTGGAGAGACAGCCGGGGCAAGGGACGGAATGGGGAAGAAATAAGGAAGAACAAGACTTCGTGATGGGAGGTTTGTGTCCAAGCTGGGCGACCAGCGGAATGTGGTCAGCCTGGTTCTTATTACTTAAGGAAGCGTGTGGATTCCTTAGTAGGCTAAGGGCCGGGAAGGAGGGAGAGAGTTCTACCTCCAAGACCCGGCCTTTGCGCGGCGACACAATAATAAAAATGGCATTTTTCGGGAAGTGAGAGACAAAACCAAAAAAAGTTCCGGTCTCCGCTCAGTACCTTGTAATCTTCGTACTGGTCCAACTGACGACGCCTTCCGTGGTCACAAGCCAACAGTAGGTCCAACTGAGACGCAGTAGTCATGCACTATATGCACAGTATTCAGTGTTGTTCCAGACGTAAATGGTTGAAAACAGATAACGACACAGGATTCCCTCGCGGTGGAAGGAGACCCAGGTCGCAGTAGTCTTGACCCACTAACAACCGGGGACCGGTAGTTCTCTTTCTTGAGATTTGGCCAGGAGAAGGCCTCAGAAGATGAACAGTGCGACCGGAGGAGGGAGGGAAGGGGTGACCGAGGTATCCCATTCCCATCTCCGCAGGTAGCACTGAAAGGGTCGTATCCGTTGTCGGGTTTCTGGTTTCTTGCTGTTCAACCATCAGCGAAATACTCCGCTCAATCGTATCTCCCGTCCTCCTCTCTTTGTGTGTCCAACATTGGTTACAGCCCTGCTAACCTACCGTGTCCTCCACATTACCCCCCGCCCCCCCCGCTATGTACCTAAAATCCATCCGTGCCAAAGATGCATTTTGGCGTTGTGAAGGTATCGAGCGACCCATGCATACGCGGAAACAGGTGTTGGGAGTACCGTGGGATGTTTGGGAACGCACGGTTCCGTGATATCGCACGTACAGGTGATATCGCATCCCCGTGCGAAAAACAAACACCAAGAACGACATTACAAAAACAGTTCGCTCGATCGCACGGGGATCAGTGATACTGCAGTACAGACCCGGAGATATTGTAGATAAGAAACGTACCGTCGAGCACAGGTTGGCATATAGTGTTCGGTAGAGTTTAGAGTAAGGATCCACCGCGTGTGCTTCTTAACCAATTTTCTTATCTCGTGAAAACGTGAGCCATTACTAAACGAAATATTTCTCAGCTGCGGGCCTGCACCTTTATCGCACGGGGGTGCGATATCACCCATACTGAGTGCCCCGAGTGGTTCCGGGACACTCCCTGCGCCGGAGGTACCTCGCGGTTTCATCGCGTGAAAGGTGTTGTTTGACGTATGGCAGCATCGCGTACCACATATATCTTGAAACACTGTGTATGCGCCAGTACGGACATGACATGATGGGTATCGTACGCATCGGAGTTTTCGCACGGGGGTGTGCGTCGAAAGCACCCAGTTCAACGATCCTGCTGTAGGGTTTGTTGTTTGCTCAGTGTCCGGGTTATCGCACCCCCCGTGCGATGACCGTTTAGGGTGGAAACGATTCCGTTCGATTATCGCACGGGGATCGATGATATCGCACGTACCGCTCATACCGCACCCCCGTGCGATAAAAACACGAAATCATTTTGAAAACGATCGCACCCCCGTGGGTTCTCTCGCGCCCTGACGGTAGTTGTGTCCAGTTGTGGAACATCATAAACCGTGTCTGAATCAGTTGCGTGCGTGTTGAGTCAACACGAGTTCATCACACTCAATTGAAGATGTGGTTCACAGCAAACGTGATCCATACCTTCTTGCGTGATTCTGAAGTAAAAGGGTCTCTTCCATCAGACACAGTTCTAGGGTGGCCACACCTAGGTTGCATGCACGCAAGTTGCATGGTCTCGGCTACGAAACAATTTGACCACGAAAAGCTGATAATAGGTTGATTTGCCATGATAGGGAACATGGTTTGGCGACAAAACAGTTAGTTAGACTAACCAACATGTCACACAAACGCTGTTTCGTCCCTCACGTGGCAAACACGTGTAGACTATTGACAGCGAAGTTGGCCAGCGGAGGCCCAAGCGAAAGCCGCCATCATCACCGTCACCATCGCCATCATCGCGAGCGAGTGTCAACCCGTTGTCACCACGGCGGCTCAAGCTTCAACACAAAGCCTTGTTGATGTTCTTAGCGTGTTTTGCGGTGGTGGGAGTGCACCGTCAGTGGTCCCAGCACACCGGAGGCGACGCCTTCGAAAGCAACCCTCCCGACCCCACTGGCCAGGTCAGTCTCTCACAAACGGCATGTGTTTTCATTACTCCCAGAACCCGTCCACTCTGTACGTGGCAGATGGCTTTGTTGACAATAATCCCACCATGCGGGATTTTAGCTTGTTGCAGATTCGTTCATAATGCAGACCATAGACATGTTGTATCATTCGAGCACTCGTGTGGGTTCAGGCAGCAGTAGTAGTGTCGTCAACTTTGGCTGGCTTAGGCACAGAAAAAAGACAACGGGGGGCCGGAGCGATCCAACAATCCTGTGAAATCTCAGGGAACTTCCTAAGCTAATGGAACCGATCATTTACGCCAATGTACGCAGCAAACAAGAACAAGAAGTACAATTTCATTCCAATCCTCAAGTTCGCCATATCGTCGCCTGTACGGTTCACACTACTCTTTCCACATCGACGCAAAGACGACACGAACCCTAAGCACAGACAAGGGGGAATTCTCGAATCATACCGAAGTGTACCTTGACAAGATTTAATGGCTCGTTTCTCTTCCCAACCTGTTCGAATCGTAGGGAGTTTTGTTTTTCGCTTACGGTTCGGAGACGAGCACGGCGGAACACTACTTGGAGCAGGTGCTCGTATCAGCCCGGCGCATCAAGTCGCTCAACCCAAGCACCAACATCACGGTCGTCACGAATCCAGGAATCCGTCCGGAAGTGGAGGGAGTATTCGACGTGGTAAGGACGTACGTAAGAGCAACCCTTCACCTCGAAGACGTGCCTCGATACACGGAAACCGCAATCCACCTATCTCTGTACAGGCACATGATTGTGTTTCCGCACGAACAAGCGATGGCCAACAAACTGCGCCGAGTTCTCTCCGCCCTCCTATCCCCAAAAAGCCTACCGACCAAACAAGTGGTACTTCTAGACGAGGACGCAAAGTGACAAGATTTGAAACTCCTTCTGTCGCGACAGCCCTGCCCACGAACGTGGGTTAAAGCAAACCTCGCACCGTTGTGCTGCATCTCCTTTTGATCAGGTCGTTCACGTGGAGGAGAAACACCTCTATCGAGGAAAACAACAATCCTGGGGGCCCAAGGGCCTCGCCAGGCAATGGTTTACGCGCCTCGAGTATATTTCTCGCTCTCCTTATGAGGTGAGTTGGGTCAACCGATGCCCTGCTACTATGGCCGACGAAAAGGGGGGAGGGGGAGCGAGAGAGAGAGCTAATGTAGGCGAAATGAGTCGGTGGTGCAATTTTGCTTGTTGAGAAGACTTTTTGTGCCCTCTGTCTGCAACGTGTCGATTGGGGATCGTCACAGCCAAAAGATTGGCCAGAACTGCGATGAGGTGTTCGTCTCGGACTTTGGAAGCGTCGATCATCCAGCCTGGACCCTCTATGAGTTGACAGTGCGGTAGTCCTGCCGGGGACAGATGTACTTTGGCTGCACGACATCAACAACAATACTTTTGACGCACCCCCGCAGCAGGCTACCATGCATCATGCGTACAAGCTACGCATACTACTTGTACTGTTGGTTCAAGCATGGTGAAGAAGCCAATCTTCCTTACAATAGTCCGACTCCCGTTGAAGGTTGCAAGATGTCGGGCAGAGGCTAACACGTTGATGGGGGTGATCGATGCCGGGCACGGACTCAAGCAAAGTCCAAACTTCATGATGATTGGCACAATGGTTTGTTGGGCCAGAATCAGCGTCGCCCCCTTTCCCCAATATATTTCTCACATTTTCTCGCAGGTTACGCTGGCGTTAGACTCCCAGGCCCTTTGTTGTGGCACAAGCGTGGAGGACATCCTCACGGAAGGCGGGGAGGAGTTCGACATCGCTTTCGCTGTGCAGGTAAATTAGGCATAGAGCCTCATATTCAACGGTATATGCTGAAACGTAAACAAGGTTAGGTGGTTGGTTCGTTCAACACGACTCAATTGCAGGCTACAAACAATCTTGCGTATTTCCTTGCCATCCTTCTGTTTCACGTCATGTAGCTGCTCAAGCTTCGACATTTGTACGTAGTATTGGGGGGCCTCATCAGCATATACAAATACGGCCAAGGTTGTAGGCGGCAACCAAGTACCACTTGGGAGGCAATGAACGGCCCCGATGCCCCACCATCCTTTGTGTCAGGCCTGCGGATGGCTCCTTTTCGCAACCTACGCAGCACACTCGTGCACTGGTTTGCAACATTGCTCTCGATGTGGCTGCTGTGCAATTGTTGAATTGTCTATCCCCCTTCGGTAACCGAGAACACACGTCGTTCGCTTGAACCCGACGCTGCTGATTCAGGGCCCCAGAATGCTTGGGCCGCACAACTGGGCAATTTTGTACCGGCTCAACGACAGGACTCGCCGCCTCTTTGATCGCTGGAAAAGCCTGCAACTGGCATATGCCCGATCTGGTTCGGATCAGGTCAGCAGCAGCGTGTTTTGGCGACATGTTTCGGTCTCACCACAGTGGCTGGGTTTAGACTGTCAGTGTCACTACAACGTCGTAAACCTTCTAGCTCAAGGCTGCGGATCGAATCTCTCTGCAGAGAAATCCTCGCAATTTGTGCGCACTGAAAAGCGCACAGTCGTGAGTTCGCCCAACAACGAGGCGAGGGGCCTAAGCGGTGATGTTGTCTTCTTTGTGTGACCCCCGCTGGTGCGCCAAACATGTACCGAAAGGCATGGATTGATCCCCAGAAAATATTGGGAGGGCCTGAAAAAAAGAACACCATGTAGTGAGCAGCATAGTTCCGGTACAATGAGCGCCTAATGAGTGCACAGGACGAGCATACCTGTTTCACGCAAACATGATGTCAACCACAACGTACGTGTGGAACGACATTGTTGCTGTGTATACGTCTCTGCTAAAGCACTACTGTAGAAGTTCACCGTTCTCTACGGTTTTCGGTGGGCCAAGGCGTTTGTTGAGGTCGTGAATGTCGTCTGTATATTGAAGCCACAACTTAATGGGTGGTCGAGTGGGAACCGCCAACGTTTTTCTCCCGTTTGAAGCGTTCTTTGAGTTGGACGCTCGCAGCACTTCGTCTGTTGACTCTCTTGCGTGCGCATTCCACGACTTGCTTATGACTTCCCGCAGCTTTTTCTCTACGGTACCTATGTTGCGTTCGGCGGACTGCCAGTACTAAAATCGAATCATGCCTGCAAAAAAACAACGCCCTACGCCACGGTTTATCACTCATGCTACGAAGAAGTGCACCTTTCACCAGGAAATTCCACTTTGAAACCCGCCCCCATGTGCAGAATATAGTCTACACCTTAATCCTGTTCATCTTGCACCTGTTCTTCATTTGAAACACCAACTCCGCGACACAGTTGACGCTCCACATGGCGGCGGGGTCCCTGGCTCTCAAAGGCGAGCTCAACGTTGGCGTTCTTGCACAGAACGCAGCACTCGCGACCGTGATCTACAACCGCACAGTCGCGGAATTTCCGAAGACCTCCACCCTCGTCGACCCACGGCCGGTTCATTTCGTCCACTACGACGCACAGTCTCATGAAGACGCCGAAGCGTAAGCTTACATGCCGCTTTGCTCTATCGTGTTTTCTGTTCGGTGTTGTCAGGAAGGGATGTTTTACGCCATTGATTGCAAAAACGATTGTTTTGAAATGTCGGATTTTCTGTCGCGTCAAGTGCACGCCAAGTACGTCGAAACCTCGCTCCTGCCGCAGGCCCAGAAGAAATTGTTGGTTGTTCTCGCCACGGCCTTGCTTCTCTAGGTGCATATGTGAGGGTACTGACTTGTTTAGTTCATGCAACCCACAAATTGCTTTTCCTTGCCTGCACAACGTGAGGGTTGCGAGACATGGGGTCTTTGCCCTGCCCTCTGCTGACATATTCTTTCCCGTAGAGACACAGCACATGCGGTTTGAGAAAGAGCATCGATTGTCATACCACACGCACGCAGTAGTGTGGTCAATGCAAGTGCATGGCTGTCTTCGTCCTGCTTATAGTGACGTTCGTCACGTTGATCGCTTCTTGCGCCTGATGTTGCGTCTATTCCCTCCCAAGTATCCCTTGTGTGCTTCGAATTTGGGTCCATGCAAGCATAATCGCACCCCATCTCCCACAAGATATCCATGTCCGCAAGAGATCCGTGCCCCCCGGACGTGCTCACAAACAGGACATGCGAGAAATTGAACAGAGAGGCGGACCGCGCGCGAGTTGTGGTCCTCCCACGACCATTCCCAAGGTCGGACACCGGGCACCGCCTCCTAAACAACTACGAGGTAACAGGAGGTTGTTGCAGAGATAACACACCACGGGAAAGAAAAGAGAAAAGCCAAAGAGTCTTGGCGCTACGATATCGTTGAAACTGCTCGTAGCTCCTCTCGTCTCTGACTTGTGTCAGGTCAACCCCATACCAAGCTGCTGCTCCACTTGATGTTCTTTAATAACTTTGAAACCCCATGCGCAACGTCACAAAGGTGGTGTACAGCGAGGAGGAACTAGCGACAACGGTAAACACGGCCAGGAAAGGCGCTGCCTACTTTCGTGGGCTGAACTGGGAAAACGAATTTGGAAAATGGGGACACGTGGCGACCCCATGGCGAGACCACTACCCGAACTGCTGGCGAGATCTTGTCAAGGTGAGCAGCTTCTTCGAAGCAGTGCCGAAAGGGAAGATACTCGCACTCATGTAAACAAACATAGAGACGTCGGAGATGTGCTGCACGCATACGAGTGCAGACTAGTCTACGGTGCAGCACCTGGTATTGCAACATAAACCATCGTGACGGATATGTCTGTCTATCCGACGACATCAATTTTCGCCTAATACCACTGTTCTGTTTCTCTCGGCGAATACGACTACGCAAAATCCAGGACGTAAACGAAGGAGTCCGGCACATATATCACAACCCGAGGAACATCTTGCGTGATACGCACTTCGCTGAAGAATTTGGTGGTGACCATTTGGAATGGCTTGAGGGAGAAACAAGCATCCGTTGAATTAGCGGGTAGAACAAGGGTTGTGGCCAACGTGAAGAGTTGAAGACGAAGAACCCATCGTAGAAACTGCGCTCAAAATATGAGGGTTCGAGATGTAATACATTGTGATGGCTGTTTTCTACCTGTCATTTGCGGATCCTTCAACCAATACAAACATGAAGGCGCATTGGAAATTCAAAGGGGAGGAGATTGTTTGTGCACGACACATTACTTTGGAGGTTGTTCTACGGGCTGCATGGTATGAGAAAGGATGGGAGATGAGTGAAGACGGAATACGAGTGAAGTTAAGTAGAGCAAGTGAAGCTATACTGGGAATTCATGTTGGTCAAACCTGAGCGGAAGCATTTAAATATGTAGTACTTCAACATAGGTCAGTTCGGGTTCAACCTACGACTGTGTGAGATATTGGACTGAAGAATGGACAACGGGGAAGGACATCTCCGCACGGGGTTTGCCGATATTTTCGAGATGTAGGGGCGTTCAAGCTTCCCTCGCAGGCTTGGCACAACTCAAATCACTCTATGGGTTTGGCACTTGAGGTAGCTGGTCTAGAGGGGATACGTTCAATTGATGGGAGGCCTTAGCTCAATGACCTCGGGGAGAAGTTGCCGTTTGCCAAGTGTTTCAGTTTGCTTGGACAAGTCACCACCTCCGGCTTGCGCTGTGCCTCGCGTGTGATCTAGATGTAGAAGAAAGAGACGGTGCGAATCTTTGTCGTCGCGTGCAAGGGTAAATATGCGAAGAGGTACCGGTGATGGTAAAAGTCAAAATTCAAAATGACGGATACTCCTTGGCAATCAGGCCTTCCTTAACACTCTCCACCCACGGATGTACCCTCTCACTTGGGAACGGGGGCCAGGCCGGGTTAATTGATAAAGATGTCACTGATTATGTTTAGGATCGAGTCCAAGACGTGCTCTGACACGTGTGGAGTGTTCATCGGAAGATGTCCATGTCAGGAGGAAAATGCATCCTGCCGACGACACCATATGCGACGGTGAACCGACTAGTACGGTAGAGTCAAAATGACGGTTACCTTGGGAATTGCGTCCTCCTCAACACAAACGCGAAGGCGAAACGCGATTTCCCTGGAAACGTCAACACCTTGTCAAGATGTCAACTGGTGTGTTCATCAAAGGGACACCGCCTATCGTTTCCCAACGACAACGCCCCGCTTATTGCAAGCCGCAAGGTCACGCACACGCAAGCAGAGCGAAACGTGGGGTTTCGAATGATTCAGTTCAAGGATCGAGAGATCGAGAGTTGCAGAATGCACATGCCGGATTCTGTTGGAGTGAATGACGTACGTCATCCTTCTTCAGCAATCAATGAAAGCACTACTACTGCTGTATTAGGGTAATAACGGAACAGAGCGAGGAAGACGGGTCGGCGATGGGGTGGATGATTGGCGGTATTGATCGTACGGCGGTACGTACTGTACATATCCTCAGAATGCGCTTGCTTCTTTGCCGCGGTCCTACTCCCTCTCGCTCTGGCTATCGTCGTTGTCGTCGTCGTCATCGTGCATCCTCTCGAAGCACGGACACAAATAAATACTTGTTGATATTTTCTACCTGGTGATTTACGATCTCCTTTTTTTTTATAGCAGATGTTTCAGCCGAGATCGGTTTGTCATTATCCACGCGAAGGAACACCCCGTATCGGGCGTGATCGTGTGTCCCTTCTGCGAGGTACGCCTCTTTTCGAGTCACCAAGTCCGCTTGTTCTTGGTAATGCATCCACAGATGTGCCAGAGTATTTTGCCGCGCACCCTTGCTGCTCGTTAAACTGGCAACATCATCTGCAGGTATTTGTAGGGCAAGAGTTTCGTTCGATGAAACGTAGGTTGCCGTCGGACGAATTGCCGAGTATGGTCGTGGGTAAATGCAATGGGCTGCTTTACATCTTCATCAATCCCGTGGAGGCCGCCTTACCACCTTGTCTCAAGGTGAACTTGTACAGTATGTAGGCTTCACCTCAATTTTGTTGAGGGGAACCAAACGCCCCCCCACCCGAGATATGAGACGTATGTTTCACTCCCCACGACGAACGCATCATACCGCTGCCCTTGTCATATGGAGTCTCTGTCTGTCTGTTGGTCTGTCTGTCTGTCTCTCTCTGTCTCTGTCTCTCTCTCTCTCTCTGTCTCTCTCTGTCTCTCTCTGTCTCTCTCCCTCCCTCCCCTGTCTCTCTCTCGGTTCACGCGAGCTTTTCGAATCGTCCTGGTTCTCCCATTCGAGTCCTGGGAATAGAGTATCGCCAGTTATTAGGATGGTGGAGGTACTTGTAGGCGTCCGAAGGCTAATGATTATTGTCTCTTTGTTCTATGTACAACATGTATGTACGTGCTACGGAGATCAATTGCTGGTCCTGACACATTTTCGGGAGTTCTCTCGTGAGACGCCCCTTTCATTTTTTTTAGCCCGCTGGCAAAAAGGAAAATACAACGGTTTCAGTTGAGGCCGGGGCTACCCGGGCTATAGTAGGCAGGTACTACCTGTGGCGAGGTGGGGTCGTTTCAGGGGCTGTTTGAACTTTGTCCCAGCTTTGCGGCGCAATTGGCATTTTCCGTCACGGCGTGTACTGGGTTTGGCTGTTCTGTAGCCGCGCTGCCGCGCACTAGTTGTTAGAAGACAGAGTTACCCCGGGCAAGTAGACGAAGGCAAGCTTGAGTGTCCCGTTACCAGTGCGTTGGCACAGAGATCGAAGTTGTGGTTGAGATCAGCAAGTCAGTGCGTGAGAAAGGTTGAGCAGCAGCAGTGTTGATCGACCTGTGTTGAGTGCAGCAGCAAGCGAGAACAAGTTTTGACGCTTTCCATGCATCATCGCGGTCTTGATCTCGACGACATTCGTTCGAGACCTGCACAGCAGTAAAGCATCCACAGAGGCAAGAACCTTTGCACTACCTTTAGTTGATTGGGTCACAAGCAGAACCCGTTATCTAATTACAACATACCAAAGGACGTTCCTCGGGCAAGAGCCCCAGGATCGTGTTGGCGTCGTCAACAGGACGGCGGTATTGGTGCCGCATTTACGAAGATCGTGTCTGGCCGGTTGAGATTTAGATAGGAAGAGTCAAGAGCGAGCGTGAGCCCCCCCCTCTCTCACTCTCCCAGCGATCAACGAGTAAAGCTACCTGAACGATCAAGGTGAGCTTAAACAACTCTACGATGGTCGGGTCCGCCCCGTACGTAATCACCCTTTCCGCCTTGGGAGAACACCCGTTTTGAGAGGAGGTCCTCAAACCACGGAACCCCTCGCGGTCTCTGGGTGGCGTCACACTCACTGTCATGCCACCAAAAGCTTGAACCACCAGCCTCGGCCAGGGAGGGCATGGGTTCAGTATATGAACGTGTAGCAGGCGTGTGCCAGTACCTATAAACACACGTGTTGACGCCTACTGAAGTATGCAAGTTGTGCAGACATTACTGTACAAATCCTGGAATCATATCCCGAGGCAGTCTTTCCGCGAGGGACTTCTCGATATCTACTACTCTCTCTGTAGTGTTAAACCCAAATCGTGCACATCATCTATGCGTTGCCCACATGTGAAGACGCATACACA